AGTCTGTTGGAAGTCCTGGGGTTTGGTCTTTATTTCAAGAGCAATGAAAATCCACTGAAGAGTTTTAAGTAGGGCTGTGACTTAATTCTCAGGATTGATTGATTGATTTATATTTATTTCTTTTTCTTTTTTAAATTTAAATTGAATTAGCCAACAATATTACATCCTTAGGTTCAGATGTAGAGTTCAATAATTCATCAGTTGTGTATAATATCAAGTGCTCATCACATCATGTGCCCTCCATCATACCCATCACCCAGTTACCCCATCCCCTCTCTTAACCCCCCCCTCCAGTTACCCTCATTTGTTTCCTATAGTTAAGATTCTCTCATGGTTTTTCTCCCTCTCTGATGACTTCCCAATCAGTTTTCCAACCTTTTCCCTATCATCCTCTGCGCTCTTTCTTGTGTTCCACATATGAGTGAAGCCATATGATAATTGTCTTTCTCTGACTTGTTTTGCTCAGCATAATACCCTCCAGTTCTACCCACATCAAATTAAGTGTTAAATATTCATCCTTTCTGATGGCTGAGTAATATTCCATTTTATATATGAATTGCATCTTCCTTTTTATTTCTTTTTTAAATAATTATTTGACAGAGAGAATTTGACTTCTTTGTCAATTTGAATGTCTTTTGCTTCTTTTTGTTGTCTGATTGCTGAGACTAGGACTTCTAGCACTATGTTGAGCAACAGCGATGCAAATGGGCATCCCTGTCACGTTCCTGACCTTAGGGGAAAAAGCTCTCAATTTTTCCCAGTTGAGAATGATATTTGCTGTGGGCTTTTTCATATATATTTTTTTTCATATATGGCTTTTATGATATTGGGATATGTTCCCTCTATCCCTACACTGTGAAGAGTTTTAATCAAGAAAGTATGCTGTATTTTGTCAAATGGTTTCTCTGCATCAATTGAGGGGATCATATGGTTTTTGTTCTTTCTATTATTAATGTGATGAATCATGTTGATTAATTTGTGAATGTTGAACCAAACTTGCATCCCAGGAATACATCCCACTTTGTCATTGTGAATAATCTTTTCAATGTACTGTTGGATCCTATTGGCTAGTATCTTGGTGAGAATTTTTGCATCCATGTTCCTGAGAGATATTAATCTGCAATTTTCCTTTTTGTTGGAGTCTTTGTATGGCTTTGGAACAAGGTAATGTGGATTCATAGAACGAGTTTGGAAATCTTCCTTCCAGTTCTGTTTTTTGAAACAGCTTCAGAAGACAAGGTATTAGTTATTTAAATGTTTGGTAGAAATCTCCTGGGAAGCCATCAGGCCCTGGACTCTTGTTTCTTGGGAGATTTTTGATTACTGCTTCAATTTCTTTGCCCATTATGCATTTGTTCAGGTTTTCAATTTCTTCCTGTTTTTGTTTTGGTAGTTTATAAGTTTCTAGGAATGCATCCATTTCTTCCAGATTACCTAATTTGTTGGCATATAGTTGCTCATAATATGATCTTATAATTGTATTTTCTTAGTGTTGGTTGTGATCTCTTTTCTTTCATTCATGATTTTATTAATTTGGGTCCTTTCTCTTCTTTTTGATAAGTATAGCTATGGGTTTATTGATCTTATTAATTCTCCTTTTTTTTTCAGGGAGAGAAAAATTATTTATTTATTTATTTTAAAAAATTATTATTTTTTAAAAATTTATTTTCAGTGTAACAGTATTCATTGTTTTTGCATCACACCCAGTGCTCCATGCAATCCATGCCCTCTCCAATACCCACCACCTGGTTCCCCCAACCTCCCATACCCCGCCCCTTCAAAACAATCAGGTTGTTTTTCAGAGTCCATAGTCTCTCATGGTTCACCTCCCCTTCCAATTTTTCTCAGCTCCCTTCTCCTCTCCAACTCCCCATGACCTCCATGCTATTTGTTATGCTCCACAAATAAGTGAAACCATATGATAATTGACTTTCTCTGCTTGACTTATTTCACTCAGCATAATGTCTTCCAATCCCGTCCATGTTGCAACAAAAGTTGGGTATTCATCCTTTCTGATGGAGGCATAATACTCCATAGTATATATAGACCACATCTTCCTTATGTATTCACCCATTTAAGGGCATCTTGGTTCTTTCCTCAGTTTGGCAACCGTGGCCATTGCTGCTATAAACATTGGGGTACAGATGGCCCTTCTTTTCACTACATCTGTATCTTTGGGGTAAATACCCAGTAGTGCAATTGCAGGGTCATAGGGAAGTTCTCTTTTTAATTTCTTGAGGAATCTCCACACTGTTTGTATACTTCATCAATCTTACCTTGGAGCCCAATTGGGCTGAACCTTCTCTTTTATCTTCCCCTTTTTTCCTCTCTCTCTCTCTCTTTTCTTTTCTTTTTCTTTTCTTTTTTCTTTCATTTGGGTGGGAAACCCTGATTGCTCAGAAGAGTTCCAGGGTGCACCTTGACTGCACCACGGTCTATACATCCAGCTACATCCGTTCAGTCATCTCTCACCAAAATGACTAGGAGGAGGAATGCCCAACAGAATAAAAATAGAGAGGATGGGCCTTCTGCAACAGAGCTAACTGCTATTGACATAGACAATATGCCGGAAAGAGAATTCAGGCTAACAATTATCCAGGCAATAGCTAGGTTGGAGAAAGCCATGGATGACCATATGGAATTGATTAGGGCTGAACTGAAAGCAACCAGACAGGATGTTCACAATGTTAGGGCAGAGCTGAAAGCCACCAGGGATGAGGTTCACAATGCTCTCAATGAGTTCCAATCTAATCTAAATTCTCTCAAAGTTAGGGCAACTGAAACAGAAGATAGAATTAGTGATCTGGAGGACAAACAGATAGAAAGGATCACCAGGAAGCCTGGAACAAACAGCTTAGAAGCCATGAAAACAGAATCAGGGAAATAAATGATGCCATGAAACGTTCCAACGTCAGAATTATTGGAATCCCTGAAGGGGAGGAGAAAGAAAGAAGTCTAGAAGATATAGTGGAACAAGTTCTCCATGAAAATTTTCCAATCTTGCGAATGGAACCAGCGTTCATGAAAGCCGCTAGGACAAGAGGCTCCTTACTTACAGAGGAAAGCCCATCAGAATAACGTCAGATCTGTGCACAGAGACCTGGCAAGCCAGAAAGGGCTGGCAAGATATATTCAGGGCACTAAATGAGAAGAACATGCAGCCAAGAATACTTTATCCAGCAAGACTGACATTCAAACTGGATGGAGAGATAAAGAGTTTCCAAGACCGGCAAGGCTTAAAGGACTATGCAACCACCAAGCCGACACTGCAGGAAATATTAAGGGAGGTTCTATAAAAGAGGAAAACTCCTAAGAATAGCATTGAACAGAAATATAGAGACAACCTACGGAAAGAAAGACTTCAAAGGTAACACGATGTCAATAAAAATGTATCTATCAATAATCACTCTCAATGTGAATGGCCTAAATGCGCCCATAAAACGGCACAGGGTTGCAGATTGGATAAAACGACAGGACCCATCCATATGTTGTCTACAAGAGACCCATTTTGAACCTAAAGATACACCCAGACTGAAAGTGAAGGGATGGAGAAGCATCTTTCATGCCAATGGGCCTCAAAAGAAGGCTGGGGTAGCGATTCTCATATCAGACAATTTAGAGTCTAAACTAAAGACTGTAGTCAGAGATACAGAAGGACACTATATAATTCTTAAAGGGACTATCCACCAAGATGATCTAACAATTGTAAATATCTATGCCCCCAATATGGGAGCAGCCAATTACATAAGAAAACTGTTAATCAAGATAAAGAGTCATATTGATATGAATACATTAATAGTAGGAGATCTTAACATGCCTCTCTCAGAAACAGACAGATCATCGAAGCAGAAAATCAATAAAGAAACAAGAGCATTGAATGACACATTGGACAAGATGGACCTCATAGATATATAGAGAACATTCCACCCTAAAACAACAGAATACTCATTCTTCTCAAGTGCACAAAAACCTTCTCAAGAATAGACCACATACTGGGTCACAAATCAGGACTCAACAAATACCAAAAGATTATTCCCTGCACACTCTCAGATCACAATGCTTTGAAACTGGAGCTCAATCACAGTGAAAAGTTCGGAAAGAACTCAAACACCTGGAAGCTAAAGACCACCTTGCTAAAGGATGCTTGGATCAACCAGGACATCAAAGAAGAACTGAAACAATTCACGGAAACCAATGAGAATGAAGACACTTTGGTCCAAAACCTATGGATACAGCAAAGGCGGTCCTAACGGGGAAATACATAGCCATCCAAGCCTCCCTCAGAAAAACTGAAAAATCCAGAATACACCAGCATCTCTACACCTTAAAGAACTGGAGAATCAACAACAAATCAAACCAACTCCATACGTAAGAAGGGAAATCATCAAGATTAGAGCTGACATCAATGAGGTAGAAACCAGAGATACAGTAGAACATATCAATGAAACTAGAAGCTGGTTTTTTTGAAAGAATCAATAAGATTGATAAACCATTGGCCACACTAATCCAAAAGAAAAGAGAGAAAGCCCAAATTCATAAAATTGTGAATGAAAAGGGAGAGATCACAACTAACACCAAGGAAGTAGATAGCTGTAAGTAGGCCATGGGAATAACCATCTCTCTTTTACACAGAAGTTTAACAGGTGCCTTTTATTCCTGAGACTCTATATTTTCTGGCTGCACTCTGTCAATCATTTGGCATTCTTTTCCTATCTCTTTTTCTTCCCTATCCAAATACCACTATTCTTTTCTTCTTGAAAGGTGTTTAGTCTTTCAAGGATGAGAGTACCAGATGCAAGATCTTTTGATTGGCATCCTGACTTCCATCTCTCTTGAAGCATCTCATGAGATGCACATAAAAAATGTCTTTGCTTTTCCATTTTCCTTTTCAGAGTTTTGCCCCAGGAAGCCTGAGATAAGACATGCTGCTCTTTCCAGTCATAAGAAGACACGGGCTTGTCTGTGAGAGTGCAACAGTCAAGCTGTCTGGCTTGACTTGATGGTATGGTAAAGAAAGTGGCTTCAAGGAAACTCACCCATATGGAAATACAGGTGCTGCTTTTCGTAGTCAATGAATTTGATTTTCTTCTTGCCATACTGAATGGAGAGAGAATAAAACTAAAATAAGAGACAAGACTTCTGGTCATTACACTCAAGGACAATGCCCTGTGTGTGTGTGTGTGTGTGTGTGTGTGTATGTGTCTAAAATCTCTGTAGAAAGAACCATCTGGTCAGAGTTTTTTGGCTACCAGACTTAAAGTACTAGAAGAACCAGAACTGTAATAAGAGGAAATATTGAGGCAACTTTTTGCTTTAATTAAATGTGGGCAATTCTTGCATTTGACTACGGGGATTGTGATTAACAAAAATTTCCAGGTGATGGATATTGGGAAGGGTATGTGCTATGGCAAGTGCTGTGAATTGTGTAAGACTGATGAATCACAGACCTGTACCCCTGAAACAGATAATTCATCATATGTTAATAAAAATACCCACAACTATTCATGTTAAAAAATTTCCTAAGGAAGTCATTTTGAAACTTTTTGTCCTTATATGGAGTGGAGTGGTGATCAGAAGGAATATTTCTGATGAATTTTCCTAGCTCATCTTAACTGTGGTGTTTAGAATTCTGCCTGAAGTCAGTCTCCATCTCCATCCACTCATCCAACAGATATTTATCAAGTGGTCATGTGATAAAAGATATAGGCATGGCACCTCTTATCTGTCCCATCTTTCCTCCTTTATGTTCTCATTATGGATTTAAAACTGTAATTTACTATTTCTAAAGCATAATGATATTATGTATATCTTTTTTTGGGGGGTGGGGGTAATGAGAGGAAGAGGGAAAATCTTAATCAGGGACCATGCCCACTGAAGAGCCTGAAGTGGGGCTTGATCTCACAACTCTGAGATCACGATCCAAAATCAAGAGTCAGATGCTTAACTGAGTGAGCTACCCAGGTGTCCCTACATACAATTTTTTAACAAAGATTTTACTTTTTTATTTGACAGAGAGAGATCACACATAGGCAGAGAGGCAGGCAGAGAGAGAGAGGAGGAAGCAGGTTCCCTGCTGAGCAGAGAGCCCGATGTGGGACTCCATCCCAGGACCCTGAGATCATGACCTGAGCCGAAGGCAGAGGCTTTAACCTACTGAGCCACCCAGGTGTCCCCCTACATATAATCTTAATACTGAGAATTTTATTCATTTTCTAGTAGTCTCCTTAATTTAGCTTGTGCTCAGCACACAAGGACAGCAAATATCCTGAGGGGAGGTGTAGAGGTAATGGTTATGTCTCCAATACCTAGTAAACATACAATACATCTTTAGTTGAAAGAATGAATGAATGAATGAATGAATGAATGAAAATTTACATCTCTGTATTTTTTTCTATAGTTCACTTGGTCACAACACTATGGGCAACATTTGATTTCTCTCCCCCTTTATGTTGATATCTTCCCTCCTACATATAAACTTTTTTTTTTAAACTTTTTTTTTTTTTTTGTATTTGGATAGCAGGGTTGACTCTTGTTTCTCTACTGTCATAGATAAAAAATATCATGGTGATAATGTTATAAGAGCTATTTGCAGTTACTCCCAAACCTCCAGATATTTAAGTAGTGGGAAACGTGGAAAAAAGAGCAGGTGGAAAATTCCTGGGAGATGGCACACCTAGATGGAGACTGATTTTGAGTATTACTCCAAAGGAGGGCTCTATGTCTTTCAGAACATGAACATACATAGAAAGTTTGGCAGTACAATGAGAAGGAAGGGAAAGTTCAGAGCTCTTCAGAACCATTTTTTATGTAAGACAACTGAATTTTAGAGTTTAAATAATTTTAAGCAATGCCTTAGGCAGTAGCTTTGAAATTATATCACATAGAACTATAAGGTCTAGGGACATGTCCCAAGAGCAGCTGTAAATCTTGGAGTGGTGAGCTCCATCATTTGCAAAGAGGTAGCATGTGTATTGAACATATAGTCCTAAAGAAGGTACTTCTGGAGAGGGTCATCCTGCTTCATAAAATTCAGTAAGACAAATCCTTGCTCTGTGGGAATGATTAGAGAAATCAGTGTCAAAAAACTAATGATGTTCTTTATGGTGACTAACATAACACAATTAAAAAAAAAAAGGAGAAATAAGTGTCACATTTTTGATGATGAGTATAGGAGTCCACAACCATCACAGAAGTCCAGGTTGGTTGTAGCCATTGTCAAAAGCAACTGATTCATGATCACAGCCAGAGACTTTTTTTTTTTTTTTTAAATCTAGTCAAAAGTCTGGTTCTTAATTCACCTGGAGAAGGTTGGGTCTTCCAAAGCTGGAAAAACTTACTTTCAAAAAGTTGCATGATTTTTCTTTAGATAGTGCCAAGTGCAGGCAGCAACTGACAGAGCTATACTCTTATTTTTAATAAAACTCCTAAATTCTTTTAAGAAATAGCAGCCTCTTTCTAAGTACCTGACTCTCAGGATGTATCTTTTCCCTTGGAGGAGAAATACCTTTCTTTGATTATTCTTGTACCTTTATTATTATTATTATTATTTTTTTTTTTGAGGTAAGACTTTTTCCTAAAAATTTTGGTAGAAGTCCTTCACATGATGATTTTAAGTTGAGGTTAAGGGGAAAAAAAACACAAAAAACCATCAACTGAGAAATGCTGGAATTGACTTTCCCCCTCCTTTTCCTTGTTTAAGAAGTCCAAATTAGTGGTGAGATCTCTCAGTGTCTTACAAGGCATTTAGGCTGTTCATTTATAAATGAACCAAATAAATACAAACTAAAAATACCAGCATAGCCTTTACTAACTGAGCTAGAATTAGTTGAGATATCTAGTTATTCAGGTATTTGTGATTTAATGCTTACTGAATGTACAAACATGTTTTCTCTGAACAAATGTCTCTATATCCTCATTAAACTTTGGAGAATCATTGTCAACCTTAGTCACCTGGTTTCATTATCTAACATTATCTTGTGTCTCCTCAGAGGTAATGATGGCCATTGGGCAGGGATCTGTCTGTCACCAGGATTGCTCAAGCAGGGTGATGAGTTATCATTTTTCCTGTTGTAGGAGGTTGGCTGGATGTCTTTCAAGGTCATAGAATCACATGCTCTACATCTCTCTCTATTCATACAACCCCAGATTCATTATTTCATGTCTGTGTTCTGGACTTAAAAGAAGGAGACATGCTCTGAGAATGTGCTTGAAGTGGGAACATCCCGCTTGATTTTTCCTGGACAAGATCATAGCTGTTTCCAGGAACCACTTCCAGGAACATTTCTCATATGCTTGGGAATTCTAAACCTACGTTGACAGGTTGTAAATCTCCAACCAGGAAAAGTGGGCCCACATCAATATCTGGGTCTTTGGGGTAGATGTTTGTTTTTACATGATGTTGGAAGTGTTGGTTATTCCACCATTTTGCTGATAGTCCCTGAGGAGAAGAGAGAGTTTATTAGTGGTGAGATTTCTCTTCTGAAATGTCCTTCTTTGTCAGAGTTTCCTGCATGCATCTCTAAAGTCAAAGACATCTGAGCTTCTTGAACTTGCCTCAGGCCATAGAATGACTCATTGGACAAAGGCTTTCAAAACCTACAAACAAATAACTATGTGGTCCAGGAACACAAGTTCAGACTAATGCAATTGCTGATTATGAAATTTCATAAAAACCTGTTGCAATGAAAATTTTTTCCATCCCTCTTTCTTTAGGGGAGGCTCCTTATTTGAAAAAATTCTAAAGATCGGTGGGTCAGAGAGTATTCTTATTTTAGAAATAAAGAAAACTCAACTCTAAAATTTTAATTAGCTTTGGGGGAGCACAATGGTCCTAGGAATCCTGCTTTAATGAGTATTTCAAAGAATCATGGATCTGAAATGATTTCTTAGGGGGGCTTGACTCAGATGATTGCATGTTCAGGCTTCAATGCTCTCATATAAAAATAAAGAATAAAAATATTTGAATTGATGTCAAGCTCAAATAATCTCTGATTAGGTTGTTTGTGATTCTCAATTACAGTCTGAACATTTTAATAGAGCTTAAGATTTGGAAGTACATCGATGTAGTTTCATGTCCTGGATGTATAAATACTGTTGTGTGGTTTGGGTAATTTTCACTCTCTTTGAGGCTCTAGTCCATCTTCAGTAAATGTAATATAATGACATTTACCTCCATTAGTTTTTTGGGGAGACATGAAATGATATATGTAAAATGTTGGTACATTGAGATATTCAATTTCTCTTCTTTCCCCCTATTACATTAATCACTACAGAAGAAAAAAGAGCATTTGTTTTTTTATTGCATATTTGACCTCTTTCAGTAACTGGCTTATATGTATTTTAGATCTTCACTGTTCAATACAGTAGCCAGGAGCCACATGCTGGTTATTGAACACTTGAAGTATGACTGGTCAAATTAAGATTTGCTGTATTTGTATAATATTAGATTTTTGAGACTCAGGATGAAAAAAGGAGTCTAAAATACCATATTAATGATTTTCCTATTGATTACACATTGGAAATGATAATATTTTGAATACTGTTGGGTCCCCCCAAAATTGGGTACGTCCGTGATTAAAGGAATGAGACTGATACAAAGCAAAGGTCAAGCAAAGCTTTATTTTGCACCAGGCATCAGGAATCAGACCGAGCATCAAACAGACTGGTCGGGGCCACCCCTCCTGAGAGGACGACCCCTCCCTGCTTTCCAGACTAACTTTTATAGAGCAAAGGCCATGTGGTTGGGCCTGGCCACACACAGGTGGCCAATGAGACTGTAACAAGCACACACAGGAAACTCCACAGTGATGCTAGGCGACCAATTGAATTACAATTTACCCTAGTAGACATTTGATTTAGCCTATCACACCTTGTTTAGGATTGGCACCAAAAGGCTCCCAAAGGGCGGGGGCCCATACTCCTTGGTAGCTAGGAGACAGTATGCATCCCAACTGATTGAATACCTCCACCTGGCCTGACCCACCCTTGTATTTGGACTTTGTTACCTGGGACTGGTTTCCTGGACTTGCTTTTAAATAAGTTGGGGGGGGGCAAGGTCAATTTAAGCTTTACAGCAAAATGGCAGTTCAACCAGGGTGTGGCTGCTCTGCCTGAATAGGCCCTTGCAATACATATAAATGGGGTAATAGATTGCTCTAGGCAGTATAGACATTTTAACAATGTTTATTCTTCCGGTCCAAGAGCATGGAATGGTCTTCCATCTTTTTGTGTCTTCTTCAATTTCTTTCATGAGTGTTCTGTAGTTCCTCAAGTACAGATCTTTTACCTCTTTGGTTAGGTTTATTCCCAGGTATCTTATGGTTCTTGGTGCTATAGTAGATGGAATCAATTCTCTAATTTCCCTTTCTGTATTTTCATTGTTAGTGTATAAGAAAGCCACTGATTTCTGTACATTGACTTTGTATCCTGCCACGTTGCTGAATTGCTGTATGAGTTCTAGTAGTTTGGGGGTGGTGTCTTTTGGGTTTTCCATATAAAGAATCATGTCATCTGCGAAGAGAGAGAGTTTGACTTCTTCATTGCCAATTTGGATACCTTTTATTTCTCTTTGTTGTCTGATTGCTGTTGCTAGGACTTCTAATACTATGTTGAACAAGAGTGGTGAGAGTGGGCATCCTTGTTGCGTTCCTGATCTCAAGGGGAAGGCTGCAAGCTTTTTCCCATTGAGGATGATATTTGCTGTGGGTCTTTCATAGATAGATTTGATGAAGTTCAGGAATGTTCCCTCTATCCCTATACTTTGAAGCGTTTTAATCAGGAACGGATGCTGGATTTTGTCAAATGCTTTTTCTGCATCAATTGAAAGGACCATGTGGTTCTTCTCTCTTTTCTTATTAATTTGTTCTATCACATTGATTGATTTGTGAATGTTGAACCATCCTTGTAGCCCAGGAATGAATCCCACCTGGTCATGGCGGATAATCTTTTTAATGTGCTGTTGGATCTTGTTTGCTAGGATCTTGTTGAGAATCTTAGCATCCATATTCATCAGTGATATTGGTCTGAATCTTTTAAAATTTGGCTATTAGAAAATTTAAAGTGATTGATGTCATTTTAATGTGGCTTACATTATATTTCTGTTGGACTATGCTGGTCTAGACACTGACATCCCCTGTAGAAGGGGATGGGTGTGTTTGAAAATCTGCAAGTGTTAACATTGTCTTTCCATGGTCCTTGTTGAAGAGCCCTCTCTTAGCAAACTTTTCCTGACCCCATCCATCAGGAGAGATATTCTCTTTTCACCTCTAACACTCCCTACCATTCTTTTTTTTTTTTTAAAGATTTTATTTATTTATTTATTTATTTATTTATTTATTTATCTGACAGATAGAGATCACAAGTAGGCAGAGAGGCAGGCAGAGAGAGAGAGAGAAGGGGAAGCAGGCTCCCCACTGCGCAGAGAGCCCGATGCGGGGCTTGATCCCAGGACACTGGGATCATGACCTGAGCTGAAGGCAGAGGCTTTAACCCACTGAGCCACCCAGGCGCCCCACTCCCTACCATTCTTATAGTAAAATCTCTCTTCCTCCATTCCCGTATCTTTCCCCTGAATCTCATGCTTTAAAGGGCAGTCACTTTCCAAACATTTCCTTTTTTCTGGCTCATGATATGTCAAACTCAATGTGTACTCATCAGTTTTTATTCCCTCTTCTGGGACTCCATTGAACTCTGCATTATCCCATTAAACTGATGTGGGAAACAGAGGCAGAAGAAAAATTATTAAATTTCCTTACCAACTGACAAAGCTTTGGAAAAGGCAGAGTGACATTCCTCTAGGGACTCAATTACCTCCACCTGGAGGATTTGCTAAGGGCAAAGGGCAATCCTAGCCTGACTGACCCCACCCCCTACCAGGCTCCTGAAGTCTACTTTAACAATTCTTTTGAAAACTTTATCTCTAAACACTCCAAGATAGTCTTGACAATCATTCCCAAGCATATGGCCCATTGAAACACATCTAAAGGGTCTCATGACAAAGGTTTTATTACCAGTAATAAACAACTTTTTTCCCAAAAATAGCTAGCCCCTCAAGGTCCTGGAAACCTTGCTTCCAAAATTCCTTAAAGACTTACACTATCCCTGACCCCCTTCCAACTTACAAGTATATAATGGACCACTCCTCACAGTCCCAGGGCTTTAATAAACCACCATTTTGCATCAAAGATGTCTCAAGAATTCTTTCTTGGTCATCGGCTCTGGACCCCACCCCACCAAACCTCACTTATATTCTAAAACTCCATCAAAACAGCATACCACCCGCTCACTCTTACAGCTGTGCATTTGTATTGACCCATTCATTATCTATCTTGAAGTAGATCATATGCACCAGACACTGAGTCAAACATTGGAATACAAAGTCAGACATGATAAAATGGGGTTCCCTCATTTATGAAACACACAACTTTAATAGGAGCAATAAAAACACAAGGGCACTGTAATAAGCAGTGATTCGCTTTGTTAATTAAGTCTTTTGAGAGCCAACATTTTGGCCTTTTCCATCAGCTGACTGTAACTTTGCAGTCAATGACTATCTGTGGAAACTGGTAATAGAAGAGACAAGTTTTGATTCATGATAGGTTGGGGAGTAGATCTTGACAGCTCAAGGTTCTGTAGCTTAGAACAATGGTCAGAATAATTGTGAGTGGAATATAAAGCAGCTAGCTCTACCCTCACCCCTGGGTTTGGAAGTCACAGTTACTGGAACCAAGGGACAGACTGATCCACGGGGATGTGAAGATTAATAGCTGCATGCAAATAGGCTGCCCTATACCAAACATCATCTAGAAACTACTCTAAAAGTCATTTCTCATTTCCTGGTGAGGTCCTTTCTCCGTGCAGTATAAGGAATCCAAGCCTTGGCCTGAAGCATTTTTTGGCTTGAATTCAAATCCATGCTACTGGATGTATGTGGCCTTGGGCAAAATCCTTATCTGTGAAATAGGTAAGAAGATGATTGCATGAAATAACATGCTTGACTCCTCCCTCCCAAATTATTTTCAGATGTAGTCATGGAAACAGGGTAGGCCAGTTTTCAAGGTAGGTCTTAGTATCAAATATTTTGTCTCTTTGTCCCTATAATATACTTGATTCCTATAGTTTTCAAACTGTGCATACTGGGTGTTGGGGGAGGGGAGTTGAAAGATACACCACAGAGGGTTGATTTGGATTTTGGCATTGCACAAAAATCCAAAATGTGTGCAGATATTTAGCAGTGTGTTTTCACAAGGGTTCTTTTATTGCTATGAAGACCAGGCATACACATTTGCTTAGTGCAGTGAGTGAAAAAAAATCCCTCTCCCCCCCAAAAAAAACCCGAAACAAAACCCAACTCAGTATCTGTGTTTTTCCAGGAGGAGGGTAAATTGACATGAAATCAAGTTTTAAAACTTAAAGTTGTGATGTATGTAAGAGCCTATTTAGCCAGAGAGGTCCCACCTCGGTTGAACAGCCATTTTGTTTATGCAGTAAAACTTAAATTGACCCTGTCCCCCCCCCCCCCCCCCCCCCCCCCCGGGGAACTTATTTAAAAGCAATTCCAGGAAACCAGTTCCAGGTAACAAAGCCCAAATACAAGGGTGGGTCAGGTCAGGTAGAGATAACAGCCCTAATGCAGGGATGAGTCTGGTCAGGTGGAGACATCTAGTCAGTAAAGCACGCATACTGTCTCCCTAGCTACCAAGGAGTGTGGGCCCCGCCTTTTGGGCGCCAGTTCTGACCAAGGTGATCGGCTAGTTCAAATGTTTACTATGGGGTGAATTGTAGTTCAACTGGCCACTGTGTGTGACCTAGCATGACTGTGCAGCTTTCTCTGGGTATTTCAATCTCATTTGCCACCTGTGTGTGGCCAGGCTCAACCACATGGCATTTGCTCTATAAAAGTTAGTCTGTGAAGCAGGGAGGGGTGGCGCTCTCTGTAAGAGGCATGGCCCCGGCTGGTCGGTTTGATTCTCGATGCTTGGCGTGAAATAAAGCTTTGCTTGACCTTTGCTTTGTATCAGTCTTGCTCCTTTAATCACGGACCCATTATTGGGGGACCCAACACTGGGGACCCAACGATGTACATAGAAGGTGAAGTTGTTGCTACTTATATTATAATTTTCTTTGTTATCTCCCTCCTGCCTGCCTATCCTTCCTGGATAGTTTTCTCTCCTGCACAGAGCGAAGCCTATATTCATTTTTCTCAAAATTCACTCACTGGTTTTGCCTGCAAAAAAGCAGAGTATACTCGATTTGCTTTTTAGAGCATTTCCCATTTACTTACTTTGCTCATGAGTCATCAAGGTTATATTCACTTCAATTAGTGCAAAATTATTTTTGGCAACACAATTTACAGAGAGAGAGCAGTGTAAGAATTTGGACCAGTGGGAAAGCAGTGACTTTTTAAAAGCACCAGAGAGGATGGAGCTTGAAATATTGCATATATTGGCACTGAGTCAACTGTCAGTTATCTTCAGGCTACATGAATCCCCCTTTTCCTCTGACTTCCTCAAAACAGAGAGAATTGGAGAGCCCATTACCTAGTTCTCACAAGGACAGAAGAAACTCTCTTTGCTTTTATTCTGTGGTAAAGATTCTGAATGGATGCAGAAATGTTTTGTCAATCCAGCACTGGTGGATAGAAGGCAGAGCAGTGTACCTGTAGGAATTTTCCAGTTAAATGAGACTTGGCACGTAAAATGACAATATATTATTCATTCTAACCAATTTGATAAACAGATATAATTCTAATATGAATCTAGATCCAAGTCTGTGCTATTTAATCTACTTAAACTTAGTTTGCTTAACCCAGAAAGAGGGTTGATAAGGCTGTGATTTTAAGTGTCTTCCCATTCAATATAAAACCACTGTGTTAAAGCAAAACACATAGGCTCTGAGTCAGTGCTTATGAGTTTTTCCTAAAATGACCTGGCTCAAATTCAAGATTTGGCTTAGTGGAAGGCTCAGAGGCACTTCCTACCTTCTGGGCCAGAGTACATAGTCAATAAATTCTAGAATGTCATAGAAAAGCACAGATTCAGTTTAAGTCCTAATCTTAGAGATAAGAACACTGAAAACCAGAGATAGAATATGACTCAGTCAAGATCACACAAGGAGCCTTATCATAGCCAGGCTAAAACCCATTCCTAGCAGTTCTGTACTGCTACCTTGGTTCACAAAACCATCCAATCATCCATCCATCCATCCACTCAACAAATGCTATTGAAATTGAAGGCCTACTATGTGCCAGGAACACTGCTAGGTGCTGCATTGCATTGGCACATAGGACAATGTGCCCGCCCTCCTGGAGCTTATGTTTGAATTGGGAAGGGAGACAAGGTCAACTGTCACCATCACCACTGCTTTTCCTAGCAGTCTGGGATTTGTAGTCCTTGACTCTTGAATGTTGCCATCTGACCTTTCTGGTCCATTCTTTTTCTCTTCACTTTTTTCTATTCTGTTGCCTTCCCTTTATTTCTTCATACCCTATTCTTCCAAAACTAATCAGTCTTGCTGGATTCCTGTAGCTTTCTTGCAGTAAATGTTCAGACCCCTTCTATGAATGCTCCCATTCATGATTTTACAAGGCACATCTTCATTTATAAAGGCACAATCCTTCTCCTGTGAGGTGGTTTCTTAATGGGGCTTCAGGGATTGGGCCAAAGCATTTATTAGGATAAGAAAAGATGTTGGAACTTCCTAAATAAAAATAAACTTATCTCCATAAAAATTTAACATCCCAATTTTAGCATATGTGCTGTAATATTATATACATGTTAGCATATATATAGTATCAGCATTATTAGTATATTTACACTTATTTATAAATCTATTTGTGCACAAACATTTTTTACTGAGCTCACGAACTTGGAAACCATTGCATTAGGAAATTATGTCTGAGAATCCCATCACATTCCCCTAACATCCCGTACCTTGAGATGACTCATCAGAAATTTCTGCATCAGGTGGTTCCACCTGGAATTCGTAAACATGGAAAGGTGTCCTGAATCATGCTGCAGAAAAAAACTCTGAATCTAGAAGAGAGAAGTTGTTGTTAGAGAAATTGGGGGAGTGTCTAGAAGAAATTAATAAATAAGTCTGCTTGTAGACTCAGGAGACCTCTGGAGAGGAATGGTGGGGGATCTCAGCTGACCCCAAACTATGTTCACTTTCTATTTCCCACATGTTGGATTCTTTCCCAATTGTGTGCCTTTGTCCATGGGGTTCTTACAGCCTAGAACATTTTCTTTGCCACTGTCAAAGTCTTCCAGTGAGAAATAGAAAGAGTATGGCCTTTGGAGTCATGCAGATTTGGGTTCTTAACTGTTCTTCACCATGTAAGTTTTGCATGGATCATGGCAAGATACTCAGTAGCTCTGAACCTTAACTCTTCTTCTGATAAGCAGGGATAATAATACCTTACTCATGGACCATTGGGTATCTTAAATACCAGTAAAGTGCCTGGCTTATGCTAAGCATCAAGAAATGTTTGTTTCCTTTCTTAAAAGCAAGTTGACTTTTCAAGAAAAAACTAGCATAAAATTCTGGAGTTAACATGGAAAACTTTCCCAGATATTTCACTGAGAATTAAATGCCTTTTTCTGCTTTAACAGCACATACTTGTTCCTCTCCTTAGCATTAATGTCATTCTGTTATGTAGTATGTTTAGCAATTTGAGCATCAATCTCCTGCACTTGAAGACTCTTTTCCCAAAGGCAAGAACTGGGTGCATTTCTTTTCATGTCCACAACACAGTGTTGTGCTCACAGAAGGCCATGTTCAGAGATTTATACTTCATTCAACAAAGATTTATCAAATGTTCTGCTATGTGCCAGTTGTTGATTATAATTTATGGTAGAATCCATATGTTCTTCTTTAAAAATTTAAATTCCAGTTAGTTAACATACAATATAATATTAGTTTCAGGTGTATAATATAGTGACTCAACACTTGCATACAACCTCCAGAGTGCTCATCACAAGTGCCCTCCTTAGTCCTCATGACCTATTTTACCCACCCCCAACTCCCTCCCCTCTGGTAACTATCAGTGTGTTCTCTATAGTTGAGATTCTGTTTCTTGGTTTGCCTCTCTCTCTCTCTATTTGTTGATTGGAAGACGAACACAAGATAAAGGTGAGTGTTACACGGCTGAGAAAGGACTCCAGTTACTGAACTGGTATGTAGAGAATTGGGTGAAATGTAGCATGTGTCATAAATTAAATATTTCCTATGTGCCAGTCACTGTCACTGCTAGGCATTTTATACGTTAACTTGTTTAGTCCGGAATATTTCCATAAACAATTATTATTCCACTTTTACAGAAAAAAGAACTGGGGTCTGGCAAGTTGTGTCAGACGCTGATGAGTAGCTTGACAGGAAGTGTCAGGCAGCAGCTGATGCCAGTCTAGAGAGAGAAGGAAACCTTCTGAACCTTCCCTCTAAGCCACTGCCTGAGCTTAGGGTACCTGCTTACCTGGGAAATTAAGAGAAGGAAGGAAATGAATATTGTCATAAGCCAGCCATTGCCAAAATGCCACACCACTAGCCAAGCCAGGGTCTCCAAAATCAAGATCTGGGCCAAGTGAAGGAAGAAGAACACCCAGTTGGCCTTGAACATGTTCATGGCCTCCAATGTTCTTTGCAGTTCTTGGAAATCTTCCACCAATTGGGGCTGAGAAATAAACATTCATGGAAGGAATTAGTTCCCTCAGGGAACACAAGTGAACACAGTGAATAATCTATTTTATAAGCTTATTAGAATTCCCCTGGGAAGCCGTCTGGCCCTGGGCTTTTGTACTAAAAGTCCTACCCTCAGCAATCAGACAACAAAAGGAAATTAAAGGCATCCAAATCGGCAAAGAAGAAGTCAAACTATCACTCTTCGCAGATGATATGATACTATATGTGGAAAACCCAAAAGACTCCATTCCAAAACTGCTAGAACTTGTACAGGAATTCAGTAAAGTGTCCGGATATAAAATCAATGCACAGAAATCAGTTGCATTTCTCTACACCAACAACAAGACAGAAGAAAGAGAAATTAAGGAGTCCATCCTATTTACAATTGCACCCAAAACTATAAGATACCTAGTAATAAACCTAACCAAAGAGACTAAAAATCTATACACAGAAAACTATAAAGTACTCATGAAAGAAATTGAGGAAGACACAAAGAAATGGAAAAATGTTCCATGCTCCTGGATTGGAAGAATAAATATTGTGAAAATGTCTATGCTACCTAAAGCAATCTACACATTTAATGCAATTCCTATCAAAGTACCATCCATTTTTTTTCAAAGAAATGGAACAAATAATCCTAAAATTTATATGGAACCAGAAAAGACCACGAATAGCCAAAGGAATATTGAAAAAGAAAGCCAAAGTTGGTGGCATCACAATTCCGGACTTCAAGCTCTATTACAAAGCTGTCATCATCAAGACAGCATGGTACTGGCACAAAAACAGACACATAGATCAATGGAACAGAATAGAGAGCCCAGAAACAGACCCTCAACTCTATGGTCAACTAATCTTCGACAAAGCAGGAAAGAATGTCCAATGGAAAAAAGACAGCCTCTTCAATAAATGGTGTTGGGAAAATTGGACAGCCACATGCAGAAAAATGAAATTGGATCATTTCCTTACACCACACATGAAAATAGACTCAAAATGGATGAAGGACCTCAATGTGAGAAAGGAATCCATCAAAATCCTTGAGGAGAACACAGGCAGCAACCTCTTTGACCTCAGCCGCAGCAACATCTTCCTAGGAACATCGCCAAAGGCAAGGGAAGCAAGGGCAAAAATGAACTATTGGGATTTCATCAAGATCAAAAGCTTTTGCACAGCAAAGGAAACAGTTAACAAAACCAAAAGACAACTGACAGAATGGGAGAAGATATTTGCAAACGACATATCAAATAAAGGGCTAGTGTCCAAAATCTATAAAGAACTTAGCAAACTCAACACCCAAAGAACAAATAATCCAATCAAGAAATGGGCTATTTTATAAGCTTATTAATACCTTAATTTTAATGCATAGAAATTTATTGATATTAATATGTTTAATTGGGTGAAATTAAAAACATAAAACCATGGACAAACAAAACCTTTTAAAAGGTTATGATTACATATATATATAATAAAAATTATATATATATAATAAAAATTATATATATATATAAAATAAAAATTATATATATATATATATATTTTTTTTTTTTTTTCTGGAGAAGAGAAAGATGAGTAGTGATTTGTAAACTGTCCTCAAACTGTTTTAGAACTCAGAATTGGGTTTGTTTTGGGGGGTGGATGTGGTTATTGTGTCTAACAGTTGCCATCTAATTATTTATTTATTTATTTTTCTTTAAGATTTTTATTTATTTATTTGAGAGATAGAAAGAGAGAGAGAGCATGAGGAGAGGGAGAAGCAGATTCCCTGCTGAGCAGGGAGACCAATGTGGGGCTCAATCCCAAACCAGGGACTCTGGGATCATGACCTGAACTGAAGGCAGATGCTTAACTGACTGAGCCACCCAGGGACCCCTAATGGTTGCCTTTTAAACCATCAGTATTATTTCAGATGTTGATTAATCTCTGATTACATTGTCTATATGGGTACCCCATACTTAGGGGTACAGTTTACACAACGTTTTCTTTGTCATCAGCAGTTTAGTATGTGTGAAGGGCTCTTTCATTAAAGATGTTGAACAGAAAAATACAGTTCACTTAGTGTAGCTCAAAGGATGACTTTCCTGTGAGCTGCTTGCTGGAGCCCCAGAAACAAGGCAGGATCTCTGGTGACATTAGTATGTATCTGTTGCCATGTGTGGGGGCCTTGGTCCTCTGTCTGTGTAAGAGGTATATGCGCATGTGTGTGTATGCACAAGGCTAGTTTTGGTTTGCCAGCTTGCCGGTCAGACTGGAGAATCAGTGCAAGGGCTGGGAATAGATATCTCTTAGCTTAATGATTAATGGGTTTAAAATCGGGGCAGTTGACACAGTGACCAGGGTATAAGGAAGAGAGTAGGATTATTCAGATACATGAAAAGAGAGACATTTGCAGTATCAAAAGAAAGAGCCATGAACAAAATTCTAGAAGCAAGCATTTTCACTTCAAAATTCACTGATTGAACTTTTAGAAGATCTGTTGCCTGCGTTTATCTTTCAAGCTGCTATCAACTTTGGAATTCTGGTAGCCATGGATAACCTTATGAGGCCATCTCTTAGACTGCCTTCCATCCTGGTCACCTTTTCCAACCCATTTATTTTGCTGAGTAGGGGGTCAGCAAGCCCAGTAGAGCAACTGCTCAGAAATCATCATCAAGTCAGTGACAGATACAGGACTTCAACCTATGCTACCTGACACAATTGTTACTCAAACTAATTGTCTATATGCATGTATCTGAGTATATATGTGTTATTTCACACACACACATGAATATGTATATCTGTGTATCCATGTAGATGTACTAAAGAAAATTTAGAGCAGACCTTTCCCTGCAGAGACCAATACACTTTTAGATAACGAATGATTGTCTTACAGCTCTCAACCATTAGTGGACTTTCTTTTCCTTTTAGAAAGTTTTAGGAAAAACAATTAAGCTTTTCATCACTTTCTCTTTTTAAACCAAGAGCCTCCTGCTCTAAATGATGGGGACATATCTAGAGGTTTGTCAATTGCTAGTATCACCACTGAGTTCATGATAATGATAGTATCTAAAATGTATGGAGTATTTACTACATTCCAGACACTGTGCTAACTCTAAATGCCTCTAACTCTTTCCATAATCCCCCAATATCTCCTAGGAGGCTGGTGCTACTACTGTTGCTGTTTTAGAGAGAAAGAGAGAAACTGAGTCATGGAGAGGTTTGGTAACTGGTCTGAACCCATAAAACCTATGGTAGGGCTGGGCTGTGAGTACAAGTGTGCAGCCTCAGAGCCCTTGCTGCCAAATGCAGGGCTGTGCATCCTGACACATAGCTGTGTGGGATGCATGTGGACCTGAGGGGTAAGTAAGTGTTCATCTGAGGTCTGCCCCAAACCTGTTGTGTGTCCTCTTTTTGGCAAGTTTGTGTCCTCATTTCTTAAAGCAGAAATCTAATCCTTATTCTATCTTCCTCACAGTGACATATGGATCAGCACTCAGTAAAAATTATTTCTTAACAATTAAACAGAATGTAAACAGGTTTTAAAAAACAACTTGCCAAAAAAGAAAAAAAAAAGAAAAATAAATGCTCGATGTTAGTTAAAATCTCTGTAAGCTTTATGTAAAATCATCCGACGGAATGTTTAATCTTACAGAGACCCTGTCCTTTGGAAGACAGTATTCAGATAGCCAAAGTATTAGAGAAAGAAAGAGTGGCACCTTTCTTTGGGAATACCTAAGGGCTGGGACCAGAAATAAGAGACTTGGAGTCCCAGTTCTTTGACCCACCAACTGTGGGACTTCCAGAAAGTAATTTATTCTCCCTGGACTATAATTTCACCAAATTTAAAAGGTGCTGCTGTTAGGACGTATCCATATATTTCATTCAATAGCAATTTAGAAGTCTCTACTACATGTCTGGTCCTGGGCAGGTAGGTTCTTGAGGACAGAGGAATAAGCAAAATACACATATTTCCTACTCTCATGGAATTTACTTTAGCAGGAAACATAGATACAGACACCAAACAGCTATAAGCAACCACTGAAAAAAATTGTATGTGTACATTGCCTGGGACGAAGCAGGTACTTAGAGACGTGGAATTATTGTTTGGTGCAGGACCAAAAATTTCATTCTTTTCTCACACAGAAGTTTAAGAGTTTGAGGGTCCAAGGAGGACAACATTGTTTTGAAATATGCAGAATCTACTCATTCATGGTACGGCAGGCTCACCCAGGCATACTGGCTGGTGTCTCACAGAAAATGATCACTTCTTGGATATATCAGGAAAAATTCAACTGGCTCTTATCTCCATCCCTCCACATGCCCCTGGGGTCCCAACACCTCACTCACATTTTTGTTTCTTTCTTGGCTGGGCTTTTCTGGGGCAAGCTCTCCGATAAGCAGTGGCTCAAGGTACAATTTTACAATGTCAAGCTTCAGGTGCATGGCTCTGAAGACATCCTGTAAATCAGAGAGAACTGTTGGATGCTTAAGAGATACACACTTACCTGCAGAATAGTCCCCTTCCTTACCTCATCCTGCACCCATCTTGGAAATCAGTAGACTCTGTTATGGAGGATTTCTTCTAGCTCCAGGTGGATGTTTCAAGTTGAAAAATCAAAATTACTCTTGGAAATACTCTATGAAAGCCTATTGCTAGAGACCCACCACCTACTTAGCACACTGCTTCACTAGCCAAGCCCAATACAGCCAGGACATTCCTGAGCATTGAAAGAGATCACTATTTTCTTGGGCACCAGAAGAAGTGGTCAGCTTGAGTTAATGAGCCATAGTGACTCTTTAAAGTCCAATGTCAGACTTGGTGGAATTTGCTCACACTATCTGGAGCACAGATAAAAATCCCATCTCCCATCAAATCTCCAACTCGGTTCTTGGCCAAAGCCAAGAAGACTGAAGCCTTTGAATTACATTATTTCTAAACAAGTACGAGTTAAAGTTGGCAATGGTAGTGTAGGACAAGTGCACAAGAGAGCATGGGAGCACAGCTCTGAGGTCTGTGTCGTCTAAAGTATTACACTCTTGGCACAGTTTGACACCGAAGGGGTCTCGTCACTTTTTCTAAAAAATTCTAAGACAATCTCTGCAAAGGATTGTGACAGCCAGGCATAGAAGAGAGGTGACCAACTGTGTTTTTTTTTTTTTCCCCCACCTCAGCTCCATGTTAAGTAGCACTTCATAGAGGCTATGAGAAACAGTGGTGGTTCCTATGTCCTGTTTATATTTGGAAGTAAGAAATGTTCTCTTCCACCCCAGGGATTTAAGCAGTTTTTGGGGAAGGAGAATTTTTCAAGAGGTAGATGCTAGACTTTCTGCTAGTGTGGCTTTGGGGACAGGGGTGATTAAAAATGAGGAAATATTACCAAGATTGTAACTTGAATACATGGAAGTCTTACATATGACTCTGAAGCACTGGTGTTCCATAGTATTCACTAAGAAAGTGGACTCTGGAGTGGCATTCCTACATCTAAATTCTGGTTTCTATTTACTGTTTGTGTAATTGTGGACAAGTCCCGTTACCTGTTTGTACTTACATTTTCTCTAACATAAGGGTGATGATCATAGCCAACAAATTCATAAAGTTATTGTAGGGATTAAGTGAATCAACTAGAATCCAGTTTGCATATAGTAAATCCTCAATACATATCAGCCATATTTTTTTTTAAAGATTTTTATTTATTTATTTGACAGAGATTACAAGTAGGCAAAGAGGCAGGCAGAGAGAGAGAGGAGGAAGCAGGCTCCCTGCTGAGCAGAGAGCCCGATGCGATGCGGGACTCGATCCCAGGACCCTGAGATCATGACCTGAGCTGAAGGCAGAGGCCTAACCCACTTCCAAGAGTAATTGAGCCACCCAGGTACCCCTCAGCCATCTTTCTTGTATGTATACTTCTAGTTCCAAGAACTTACTACCCACCTTCTCTTCAATACAGCAATTTGTAGATTTTCTTCATATATTCCAATGTCTAATGTAGTATGAGCTCTCACTTATTTTAGTGAATATAATGAATCCTCCATCTTCAAAGTGTAAAACAACTTTAGATACATCCTTGAACTACATACAAGCCTACTTAGAAGGTATTTATATAATGAATAACATTAATTAGAGGGGTACAATATCAACTCTTTAGACTTCCGTCACCTAAGGGTCTCTAGATTCAATGATGTAAAAAGGGCTTTGTATTTGCTAGAACCAGTCCAGGCTCAACTGTCCATTCTGCTTCTGTATGCTTCCTCTGACTCACTTGGGAAAGGCTACACTGTATGATTTCAAATGTGTTTCTTAGTTGTTATATTCTACAAGTCTAAAACTTAGTTCCCCAAACCAGAAAGAGAGAGCCATTCAATGATTAAGAAGGTGATAAAGTATTTTAGAATTGTCCATAGTGAAAAATCATATTCTACTTGTTGTGTAAGAGCACATTATGATGGAAAACATTCTGATGGATCAAGGTAAGAGTCCGGAAGAAAGGTAAGCTGTTGAAATTTCATGTTACTTTGAGCAGTCATGCAGAGTCCTTGAACAATGTGCTGACAATACTGTTCTTCTGGGTTCATTGGGTTTTTTGGTTTGTTTGCTTGTTTGTTTTTTGTTTTTTGTTTTTTTCTGACTCCCAGCAAGATTTGCAGGTAGTATTGTGATAAGAGATCCTGAAAACCTACAGACTTTTCCAGAATAATAGGCATTGTCCTGCTATGTGGAAGTCTTTTCACTGTACTGATGAGCAGTAAAACCCAGGAGTTTAGGTAGTCTTAGATTATTCAATTTATTGTATTTATTTATTTTTTATAATCATTTTTTTAAATTTTCAGCATAACAGTATTCATTGTTTTTTGTACCAGACCCAGTGCTCCATGCAATCCGTGCCCTCTCTAATACCCACCACCAGGTTCCCCCAACCTCTTACCTCCCCACCTCTTCAAACCCTTCAGATTGTTTTTCAGAGTCCATAGTCTCTCATTGTTCACCTCCCCTTCCAATATCCCCCAGCTGCCTTCTTCTAACTCCCCATGTCCTCCATGCTATTTGTTATGCTCCACAAATAAGTGAAACCATATGATAATTGACTTTCTCTGCTTGACTTATTTCACTCAGCATAATCTCTTCCAGTCCCGTCCATGTTGCTACAAAAGTTGGGTATTCATCCTTTCTGATGGAGGCATAATACTCCATAGTGTATATGGACCACATCTTGCTTATCCATTCGTCCGTTGAAGGGCATCTTGGTTCTTTCCACAGTTTGGCGACCATGGCCATTGCTGCTATAAACATTGGGGTACAGATGGCCCTTCTTTTCACTGCATCTGTATCTTTGGGATAAATACCCAGTAGTGCAATTGCAGGGTCATAGGGAAGTTCTATTTCTAATTTCTTGAGGAATCTCCACACTGTTCTCCAAAGTGGCTGCACCAACTTGCATTCCCACCAACAGTGTAAGAGGGTTCCCCTTTCTCCACATCCCCTCCAACACATGTTGTTTCCTGTCTTGCTAATTTTGGCCATTCTAAGTGGTGTAAGGTGATATCTCAATGTGGTTTTCATTTGAATCTCCCTGATGGCTAGTGATGATGAACATTTTTTCATGTGTCTGATAGCCATTTGTATGTCTTCATTGGAGAAGTGTCTGTTCATATCTTCTGCCCATTTTTTGATATGATTATCTGTTTTGTGTGTGTTGAGTTTGAGGAGTTCTTTATAGATCCTGGATATCAATCTTTTGTCTGTACTGTCATTTGCAAATATCTTCTCCCATTTCGTGGGTTGCTTCTTTATTTTGTTGACTGTTTCCTTTGCTGTGCAGAAGCTTTTGATTTTGATGAAGTCACAAAAGTTTATTTTGGCTTTTGTTTCCTTTGCCTTTGGAGACATATCTTGAAAGAAGTTGCTGTGGCTGATATCGAAGAGGTTACTGCCTATGTTCTCCTTTAGGATTCTGACGGATTCTTGTCTCACGTTGAGGTCTTTAATCCATTTTGAGTTTATCTTTGTGTATGGTGTAAGAGAATGGTCGAGTTTCATTCTTCTACATATAGCTGCCCAGTTTTCCCAGCACCATTTATTGAAGAGACTGTCTTTTTTCAATTTAAAAGACTTTCCTAATAGAGGCTGGATATTGTGTAAGTTGTGAAATCCTCTTTTGAAAGACCTGTAAACATAGTCTATATTATTAACACTATTGGGCAAGTATAATCCTGCTAAAAGATATAGGGGTAATAATATAATCCTGCTGAGGAAGAAGGGATAAAAAGGGGAGAGGAGGTAGTGCCAACAATTGTTGAATGTATCCAAAGTACAGGGTACCCTATGGGCTAAATCATAATCAACACCTTAGTGCTATGAGGCTCCCTCTTGTCTTATGTAAAGATAAAGACACCAAATCTTAGAGGAGAGAAACATCTTGTCTGCAATGCCCCAATAAATTGATAAATAGTAGAGCTGGGATTTGAACTAAAGGCTTCGTGACTTTAAAGCCATGAAGCTGTAAAGGTTTATTCCAGCCTTAACATGCAAAATTCTTTTTCTGAAAGGCCTCTCAAGAAAGAAATGATGCCGGATTGTTTTGGGATGATGCCAAAAATCAGTATCTATCTGCTGAGCAGATAATGATGTCTTTACACATTAGGGTTTTTTTTTTTTTTTTAACATTTCTTTTCAGTTTTTTTTTTCTTTTCTTTATTTTTTTTTAAAAACCCTGTTTCCATTTCAAATATAATCTCATTCCCCAATTTTACACATTAGGTTTTAATCCCCTAAATCACTTTGCCTCTGGCTTCAATTTAGCTCTCTAGGCTTAACATTCACCATTACCCTTCATGAACCATCTTGTCCACCAGACCTTTCCCCATTCAATAGGCACTCCATGCCTCTCTGTTGTTCAGCAACTTTTCATGTTGGTTCCTTGCCTTGACTGCCTTCCTCCATTTTCTCTCTCAAAAACTCCACTTTACCCTTCCAGATTCAGATTATAGTGCCTCTCCTAACTCACTCAGGAAAGTTATTTATGATCTCCCCTGGGTTCCCATAATTCCCATAACTTTTCAAATTATAGTGTAATGAAACTGTGTATTTTGTTCCTTCTTTAGTGGTCCTTGTATTTTTTTAAATTGACGTATACTTGATACACATCATTGTATTAGTTATAGGTATGCAATAGAATGATTTGATATTTGTTTGCATTGCAAAATGATCACCACAATAAGTCTAGTTAACTTCTGTCACCTTACATAGTTCTCCCTATTTTTTTTCTTGTGATGATAACTTTAAAGATTTAATCTCAACAATTTTCAAATATACAATACAGTATCATTAACTATAGTCAACATGCTATACATTACATCCCATTATTTATTTATTGTAACTGGAAGTTTGTACTTTGGAACCCTTTCACCCTTTTCTCCCATCCCATACTTCCCACCTCTGGCAACCACCAGTCAGCTTTCTGTATCTATGAGCTTGATTTTTTTTCTTTTTTAGATTCCACATATAGGTGAGATCATATGGTATGTGTCTTTCTCTTTCTGATGTATTTCACTTAGTATAATGTCTTCTGGGTCCATCCATGATGTTGCAAATGGAAAGATTTCATTCTTTTTTAATGGCTGACTAATCTATCATCTATCTATCTATCTATCACTTTTTCTTTATCCATTCATCTGTTGGTGGACACTTAAGTTGTTCCTATGTCTTGGCTATTGTATGTAATACTGTTATGAGCTTGGGGGAGCAAATATCTTTTTGACTTAGTGTTTTTGTTTTCTTCAGACAAATACCCACAAATGGAACTTCTGGATCATGGGGTAGTTCTATTTTTAATTTTTTGAGGAGCTTACATGCTGTTTTCTATAGCAGCTGCACAAATTACATTCCCATCAATAGAGTACAAGAGTTCCTTTTTCTTCACATCTTCATCAACACTTGCTATTTCTTGTGTTTTGATAATAACCATTCTGACAAGTGTGAGGTGATCTCTTACTGTGGTTTTGATTTGCATTTCCTTGGTGATTCAGGTCTTGTGCTCAAGTCTTTAATCTATTTTTAATTCTAGTGTATGGTGCAAGATAGTGGTTCAGTTTCCTTCATTGGCATATAGCTGTCCAGTTATTCTAACACCATTTTATTGAAGAGACTGTCCTTTCCCATATTCTTGGATCATTTGTCATAAATTAATTGTCCATGTATGTGTGAGTTTATTTCTGGATTCTCCATTTTGTTTCATTGATCTATGTGTCTGTTTTTTATGCCAATACCATACAGTTTTTATTATTATAGCTTTGTGGTATGTATTGAAATCAGGGAGTGTGATGCCTCTAGATTTGTTCTTTCTCAAGATTGCCCTCCTCCCAGAGAAGATGCAACTATGATTACTGATTGTTACTTTCTTTTTGTCAACAGCTTAGAAATCCTGGCTGCTTTTGTGGTGGCTGGGGGTGGGGAGAGATGACGTGCTAGGCAGCGTCACTATGTGTAATGGAAGAAGAAGAAGAAGAGGAAGACATGGCTGAGCACTCTAAGACCCCTTTCTTTCCTCCCCTTTCTCTTTTCTCTCTACCTTTCCTCTCCAACCTCTCCTCCTCATGCCATGATAGTCACTGATGCTAATTGAGCATATACTATGTGCCAATATTGTGCTAAGCAGAGGAAGTGGCTAAGCTGGGATGCCCATTCTGGCTGGGTATTTAGTCCTGATATGAATCCTATTTTCGCTCCACCTCTGTGCACAACCTCTCCACCTCCTACCTTAGCCTCACCTCCTTTGGCTCCACACCACCCTTTTGGAGTTGCACACAACACTCCTGTCTTCCACATCATAGTCCTCTAAATAGATGAAATGGACTTTTCTATATTTCCTCTAAGTTTTTGTCATCCCTTCTCTGTCAAATTGACCTTTGACCCACACAAGAAAGCACTCGAGTTTCTCAGCGTCTTTCTTAAGAGTGTGGCTGTCCAGGGGCACTTGGGTGGCTTAGTGGGTTAAGCCTCTGTCTCCAGCTCAGGTCATGATCCCAAGGTCCTGGGATCGAGCCCCTCATTGGGCTCTCTGCTCAGTGGGGAGCCTGCTTCCTTCTCTCTCCCTGCCTGCCTCTCTGCCTACTTGTGATCTCTCTCTGTCAAATAAATAAATAAAATCTTTAAAAAAAAGAGTGTGGCTGTCCAGAGATAAGGAGGATACTTAACCTCCTTTGTTTGTTCTGGACATGCTGCTGATGTGCATGCATCACAATATTGCATTTGTTCCTTTCCTACTGTTGCCTTACATAGAATTTGTGACCAAGTAGGGTTTCATGTCACGTCCTCCAATGCTTTGTAAACCTCATTTCAATAATTGCAAAAACAGCCCATCATATAAATATATACTTAATTATATAATCAATCCTACTTGGACTTTTCCTGTAAGCTCTTCTCTGGTAAGAAGACTAGGCCTAGACTGTAATTATTAGCATCATGTCATTATTATTTTTTAAAAAGATTTATTTATCCATTTTGGAGGGTGGGGAAGGGCAGACTCGACATGGGGCTGGATCCCATGACCCTGAGATTATAACCTGAGCCAAAACAGAGAGTTGGCCACTCAACAAACTGTACCACCCAGGTGTCCCATCGTGTCATTAGTTTTAGATCACGTAGTTCAAAAACAGTAAGATAACTTGTATATGCAGTAATAGGAGCTGATGTACCCACTTCGTTTTATGGATTTATTTGTCTTGTTTGTTCTTTGGAGAAGATTACAACCCATATCAGAATAAAGTGATAAAAAAAGCCCAGGAACTGTCATTTTTTCAGTGTTTAATCTGTGCCAAACACCATAGGCACTGTTGACTTCCACAAGGCTAAGATGAAGGTATTATTATCCCCACTTTCTAGGTAAAGGAGCTGAGGCTCCAAGAGCTTCTGCAGTCTCCCCTCAAGGCATTCTCAGTAAGAACTCAGATACTAGCCAGGCCTCTTTCATTCCTAAGTCTGTACTCATACTCATTAGGCTGGACCCTTAACAAAAGTTTTAGAATGGCTGGCTACATGAATGAATGAATTAATCATCCTATGGGAAAGGCTATCATTAGTCACCTTTTGTGAGGGGGATGGAAGCTTGGAGAAGAGTTTCCATGTAAATAAAAGAAAGGTGTCCCCCTCTGGGCACCTTTGGGTCCAGGGCCAGCACACAGAGAGACCATACTTTCTTTGGTCCACAGTTGCCTTTCAGGATACAACCTGCAAACACCTCTTAAGTTGTAGAGTAAACATCCGACTGCAGGTCCTATATACATTTTGCTCTCCTTCACTAGGGAGCATGATCCTTCCCCACCACGGGCTCCAGCTTTCTCCAATCACGTGACACCAAATACAACCAGAATTTCTAAACTGTGCTAAACAGGAAATCATAATTACACCTCTGAGGTTAGGGATGCCAGTGAGATAAATAATAGTACAATTTAATGAAACTTTATTAAGTATGTGGCATTGTGCTAAGCACTTTATAAACATTAGTCCCATTTACCATAAACCTGTCAGATGGGTAAGATCATTCCTGTTTCACAAATCATGAAGTAGAGGCTGAGAGAATTGCAATAACTTGCCCATGTTCACGCAATCACTTCCAAAGTTCAGGCTCCCTGAATTCTGAGTAGCTATGGAACATTACATTTGTCAGAATTCTTTCAGATCCTCCCATTCTTCTCAAGACATCTTCCTTTGAAAAAATCTTTTCTCTGAATATTTTTGGACTTATTTACCTTACATCTAAGGTACATGGTTGACCATGCTCAGGATTTTCATTCTTAAGATATGAATCCTTAGATGGCATGGGTATTTTCCCCTGAAGTTCTCTGATGGTTTCTTTTTTTCTTTATTACTCAGTTCCTCCTTGTTGGCTAGAATTGAACGCAGAGTCATGGACTTTTCCTAATTTCTGGGAGATAAACATCATCAGCAAGTTACATATTTATCAGCCCAGCTGTCTCAAGCTGAGTGAGTTTATCTGTGATTTCTAAGGTGGTAGAAAGCCCACATCTTTGGCAACAGATCGTCTGAGCTGATTCTGTGACTTGGACAAGAAAAGCACCATCCTTAATTGTAGGTTTGCATTATTGTTATCAACATTTTATACCTATCAGATGAATCACTATCTGTCTTTTACACACTTTATTTATAAGAGTCTGAGAAATTTCTCCTTGGGCACAGATATTTTTTCCCTTAGCCTTTACTCACCCATTTGCTACTTTCTTCTTAAAAGACAATGACAGATTGTAGCCACACTTCTGGTGAACATAGCATAATATAGAGTTGTTGAACCACTATGCTGTACACCTGAAACTAATTTTAACATTGTGCCAACTATTCTAAAAAAAAAGCAAAATAGACAGTGGCTTTAATTAAAATCAAAACAAAACACCAAGAGCAGAACAAAATCCAAAATACACAAACAGTATCCACTGACAATATCTGAGCTCATCCCCAAGTAAGAGTTAAACCTTGAGGCTTAATTTGCTTTCAGGTTCTTGCTGGATAGGAATCCTGTAAAATTGATTTGGGAGGAGATGAGCGATTGTGGAGTTTGAGCACACACTCAAAATACTTTTGGGAAGAGAGCAAAGTCTCAGTCACCCAGTAGCTGGAAGAGAGAGGGCAGAGCTCTGAGTTCCTTACTGTGGCATCTTCGCCAGCATAGTGGTTGAGGACCCTGTGCCCACCTGGATGCCTCTTGGCACAGTCAGTAACATCATAGACCTTACAATTGATCACCATCCACTGATCAGCCTCCTGATTGTGTGTCTGGATCTCCTGCCAGCTGTACACCTTGAGGATTTTTCTGGGCATGTCACATTTCCCATTTGCCTCCTGTTTTACAGTCTTCACCTTTCCCATTTGTTACTGGTTTCCCATTTGCTTGTTGCTTCTCACCTAGATACTGCTGACTCTTTCTCACAAGGCGCCCATTACCTGCATGCTTGTCTTCAAGTGTCATTGTCACTGTACCCCTGAGATTTCTGGGTTGACTCCTGAAATTCTAATCCTTGCCTATGATTGGATCATAAAATGACGCTTTTCCTTCTTTCTTATTCCACTACAATGTGATGTCTGCCCGGAACACTTCTTTTTAGCCTAGTTACCTCTTCACAAACCTAACAGTGTGTACGTCCCCAGCTTCTCACATATCTGTCTGTCCTGAATCTTTTCTGCACTGATAGAGGCTGGATCACATTTTTTCCTGGGGGGTGAGACCAACTGTCTCTCCTCACTTCTCCTTTCTCTGCTGGCTGGTGTCTTAGCAACATCTTCCTTCAGCATTAAATATCCCTTCGGAAGGAACTTGAGCCAATCAGTTGGTCTGAAAGTTGTAGCCTGTCCCAGGTTGGAGGGAAAAGCCTCAGGTTATTGGGCTGTCCTACACTGTTACCCCATGGGGTTGGGTTCACTAGGTCTCTGGCATGCTTGTGGTTGGAGGCATTTAGGTTTGTTAATTCCGCATGGAAGCAAAACCTTTCAAAACCTCCAGGATGACATGAATGCTTGGTAGACTTGGGAAGTGTTCTTTGTGACAGCTGTTATTTCTCCCTCGGTTTTGCAAACTTTTTAAAAAACAACATTTTTAAAAGAATGATTTAGATTTACCAAAAGAGCCAATGAGCAGAAAACTAGTCTTTCTCTTTTATCATTGAAGGCTGTCTAAATCTGTTGTACTACTAAAGGGAACAGCAACTGATGTTTGCTAGAAGGCATGATGGTTTACGAAGCCTTTATCATATGATATATTTGATTTAATCCTCACATTAACTTTTGAGGGAGGTACTCTTAGTGTCCCATTTTCCAGGTGAGAAAACATGAACTGAAGACCTCAGGTAACATGCCAGAATCACTTGATTGATAAGTAAATTGCTGAGGAATTCAGAATTTCCAGATCTCCAACTTTTCCTCTGGCGTTCTTCAAACCTAGGGTCTAGACATATATGATAGTAACTTAACTCAGTGGTTTAGAAATGAGGCAGAAGGAGAGCTTCTGGGATAATATAGTGGTGGTGGTGGGGAAGGGTCTTAATTTCAAGAAAACAAGCGGCATGAAATAATAGAAAACATCCATTCTATATTTGGGAATCAGTCCTAAGTAAATCATCAATAATTCAGCCCAAGATTTATATGCTAAGGGCTTATTCTAGTACTGTTTACAACTGCTATTGTCACAACAGCTCACATTGCTTGCAAGTTTGCTGAGCTGAAGGAGAAGATAGGTCGTCGTTCTGGAAAAAAGCTGGAAGATGGTCCCAAGTTCTTGAAATCTGTTGACGCTGCCATTGTTGATATGGTTCCTGGCAAGCCTACATGTATTGAGAGCTTCTCTGACTATCCTCCTCTCGGCCATTTTGCTGTTCGTGACATGAGACAGACGGTTGCTGTGGGTGTCATCAAAGCAGTGGACAAGAAGGCAGCTGGAGCTGGCAAGGTCACCAAATCTGCCCAGAAAGCTCAGAAGGCTAAATGAATATTATCCCCAATACCTGCTACCCCAGTCTTAATCAGTGGTGGAAGAACGGTCTCAGAACTGTTTGTGTCAATTGGCCATTTAAGTTTAATAGTAAAAGACTGGTTAATGATAACAATGCTTCGTAAAACCTTCAGAAGGAAAGGAGAATGTTTTGTGGACCATTTTGTGTGTGTGTGTGTGTGTGTGTGTGTGTGTGTGTGTGTGTGTGTGGCAGTTTTAAGTTATTAGTTTTTTTTTTAAGTTTTTTTTTTTTTTTTAATTTATTTGACAGACAGAGATCACAAGTAGGCAGAGAGGCAGGCAGAGAGAGAGGAAGGAAAGCAGGCTCCCTGCTGAGCAGAGAACCCAATGCGGGGCTCGATCCCAGGATCCTGGGATCATGACCCGAGCCGAAAGCAGAGGCTTTAACCCACTGAGCCACCCAGGCACCCCAGGTTGTTAGTTTTTAAAATCAGTACTTTTTAATGGAAACAACTTGACCAAAAATCTGTCACAGAATTTTGAGACCCATTAAAACAAAAGTTTAATGAGAAAAAAAGGAAAATCAGGGATGGTCTCAATGTCCAGCAATTAAATGAAGGTGAATGAACTATGTATATGTTGAATATTATATAGATATTTTAAAAAGTGGTTTTTATAGAATTTTTAAATTCATGGGCTTATGTATACAATATAATGAAAATAATCAGTTGATGAAATTCTATTTACTGAGTAGTATATGATTGGAAGGGAAAATGTTAAAATGTTGCCATTAGTTTGGATTATAGTGTTATTGAAACATTTTTTTAATCTTTATTTTTAATAGCATTTCCCAGATTCCTACCAATGAATACATGTTACTTTTATAATTTAGAAAAAACAGATTTTTAAAAAATAAGGATGCAAGAAAAAAATACATAAAGCATGAATTTTGGAGGTAGATGAACCTGGGATCATATTTCTGTTTGCCATTTGTTAGCTGTAGAGCATCTTGCAAATCACTTACTTTTCTGAGCTTTAGTTTTCCCATCTGTAAAATGAAAGAAGCACTATTCTCAGTATTACAATGAATTAACATAAACACTGTGGTATTTACAGAAACCCTCAACAGTTTCCATGACTTTTGTATGGAAGTTTCATGAATCCAACATATATACACAGTATTTGTATGCTCTACACATACATTCAGGCATCCTGCAGAATTTCAGTGTAATTGAGGTTTGAGGGCAACAATCTGGTTGGAAATTTGTCGGGGAGCTGGTAGATGGCTTGCCTAGGGAAGTAGGCTGGCCCTTTATGTATGCTTGAGATAATGTCATTTTGCTATACTATAGAATGCAAACACACTGATGGGAAGTGGGGCTGTGTGTTGGGGGAGATTATCAAGGACTTTCCCATCCCTCCAATGATGTTGCGTTGGAAACACTTGGCACATAGCAGGACTTCTGTAATTGATAGTGTCTTGTCTGTAGTTGCATGGATATTGAGTGTAGCAACTCATTCTTTCAAGGCTTTTGTATTTGCTTGTTTTGGAGGGAGGGAGCCTTCTTAAGGAAATAAACTCTGGATTCAGAAATACCTAAGCTGAGTATTCTTGCACAAGATTCTTATGGTCTCTGTGTGTAGGTTTTCTTATTCCACAAAGTGGGGTGAGTGAAAACCATACTTATGAATTTATGAAGAAGATTATATTATGTATTGGAAGAAGCTAGTGTAATGCTTTACACCTGGACAAACAATAAATGTTACATTTCCTATTGCTGTTATTGTATGTGTTTTATTTTTGCTTTGGAACACCGTCACCTGTGTTTGGGTGTTCATATTATTATTATGGTTTTTAATGTTGTCATTAAAATGACCATCGTTTTTAAGGTCCAGGAGAAGAGACTAAAGGTGTTTGACTACCAAAGTTGGGGCTGTCTGGATTCTACCTCTTTCCTTTTTTTAAAAAAAATTTTTATTTCTTTTCAGCATAACAGTATTCATTGTTTTTTGCACCAGACCCAGTGCTCCACGCAATCCGTGCCCTCTCCAATACCCACCACCTGGTTCCCCCAATCTCCCACCCCGTGCCCCTTCAAAACCCTCAGATTGTTTTTCAGAGTCCATAGTCTCTCATGGTTCACCTCCCCTTCCAATTTCCCTCAACTCCCTTCTCCTCTCCATCTCCCTCCCCTTGTCCTCCATGCTATTTGTTATGCTCCACAAATAAGTGAAGCCATATGATAATTGACTCTCTCTGTTTGACTTATTTCACTCAGCATAATCTCTTCCAGTCCCATCCATGTTTCTACAAAAGTTGGGTATTCATCCTTTCTGGTGGAGGCATAATACTCCATAGTGTATATGGACCACATCTTCCTTATCCATTCGTCCATTGAAGGGCATCTTGGTTCTTTCCACAGTTTGGCGACCGTGGCCATTGCTGCTATAAACTTTGGGGTACAGATGGCCCTTCTTTTCACTACGTCTGTATCTTTGGGGTAAATACCCAGTAGTGCAATGGCAGGGTCATAGGGAAGCTCTGTTTTTAATTTCTTGAGGAATCTCCACACTGTTCTCCAAAGAGGCTGCACCAACTTGCATTCCCACCAACAGTGTAAGAGGGTTCCCCTTTCTCCACATCCTCTCCAACACATGTTGTTTCCTGTCTTGCTAATTTTGGCCATTCTAACTGGTGTAAGGTGGTATCTCAATGTGGTTTTCATTTGAATCTCCCTGATGGCTAGTGATGATGAACATTTTTTCATGTGTCTGATAGCCATTTGTATGTCTTCATTGGAGAAGTGTCTGTTCATATCTTCTGCCCATTTTTTGATATGATTATCTGTTTTGTGTGTGTTGAGTTTGAGGAGTTCTTTATAGATCCTGGATATCAACCTTTTGTCTGTACTGTCATTTGCAAATATCTTCTCCCATTCCGTGGGTTGCCTCTTTGTTTTGTTGACTGTTTCCTTTGCTGTGCAGAAGCTTTTGATTTTGATGAAGTCCCAAAAGTTCATGTTCACTTTTGTTTCCTTTGCCTTTGGAGACATATCTTGAAAGAAGTTGCTGTGGCTGATATCGAAGAGGTTACTGCCTATGTTCTCCTCTAGGATTCTGATGGATTCCTGTCTCACCTTGAGGTCTTTTACCCATTTTGAGTTTATCTTTGTGTACGGTGTAAGAGAATGGTTGAGTTTCATTCTTCTACATATAGCTGTCCAGTTTTCCCGGCACCGTTTATTGAAGAGACTGTCTTTTTTCCACTGTATATTTTTTCCTGTTTTGTTGAAGATTATTTGCCCATAGAGTTGAGGGTCCACATCTGGGCTCTCTACTCTGTTCCACTGGTCTATGTGTCTGTTTTTATGCCAATACCATACTGTCTTGGTGATCACAGCTTTGTAGTAAAGCTTGAAATCAAGTAATGTGATGCAGCCAGTTTTAGTTTTGTTTTTCAACATTTCCTTAGTGATTCGGGGTCTCTTCTGGTTCCATACAAATTTTTTAAATCATTTTTTTAA